AGACCTTCATGCCTGAGAAGGTGTCCTACCAACCTATCTCGCCTATTTTTTATTGACTTCCATAGAGTCCTCTGTTCTCCTATTCTTTCTAATACCTCTTCATTTCTAACCTTTTCTACCCACGTTAACCTCATCATCCGCCTATAACACCACATTTCGAACGCTTCTAAACTTTTCCTTTCCGCCGCGCTCACTGTCCATGTTTCGCACCCGTACAATGCCGTGCTCCAAACATACACTTTTAATTATGTAATATAATAATAGTTTCATTTATATCATCTAGTTTTTTATCCTTTTTTATTCTCACTCATACAACGCCGTGCTCCAAGCATACACTTTTAATTATGTAATATAATAATAGTTTCATTTATATCATCTAGTTTTTTATCCTTTTTTATTCTCACTCATCCAGATTGTGTAAAGTTAACTTCCCGCCCGGTTCGAACATGATCTAGCGGGCCTGACGGTTAGTGTTATAACATAATAAACAAATTTTCTTCGTAAACATGACAAAGAGTTTTCCGGCATTCACCGGAATATAAGCTGCCTTACAACATGGACGACGAAATTCTTCATTGCTTTTGAACTAGCGTTATTAAATTTCTTGGTAGCAGAAGTAACTTAATAAATATTATATTAGTTGTCAACTCCACCTTCTCCTTATCTTTGCATCCTGTCTCTCTCTCTTTCTGCCTCTGTTTCTCTTTTCGTGTGTCTGGATTATCATTATTATTAGCGGCGCTATTATATTTTCAATCCATTTGAATTGTAAGATGAGAAAAAGGATAAAAAATTTAGCAGAAATTCTGGATTCCCTAAAGCTTGTACTTGTCATTCAATTACGTGTTGAATTCAATTATTATATTTTTCGTTAGATCACTTTCATTAAAAATCCATTTTCAGCAGCCTTTTTTTTGATTAGAAAGTCCTGAGCAACATTAATAATGTAAAATCTCGAAGAGTGTACTTCTGGATTTGTTGAATAGTTTCAAAAAAAAAATAAATAAGCCTTACGTGATCTTAGGAACGCAAAAGGGCAACAAAAAATAAAACTCTTAAGTTTTAAATGCCTTTTTCTATGGTAGTGCATTTAATAGAAAATCGGATAGCTCACGCAAATGAAACGCGACTGTTGTTTACTTAATGGTGGAGCAGAAGTAGAAACTTATTTCTTATACGCATGCGCACTGCGTCCTTCTCTCAGGGGCAAGATAATAGACAAAAACCTTCAGTCTCTCTCCAGTCCCTTAGAGTCTATCAGCGTCTCTGAGAGCGTCTCTCACAGTCTTTCAGTTATTGTCTAGGTGTTTTTATGGATCTCTCACAGTCTCTGTATGAGAGACTCGAACGATAAAATTGTTAATTCAGAGATTCGTGTCTCTCACAGAGAGACTGAATGAATAAAATTGAAAAATTGAGAGACTCGAGTCTCTGGTAGAAAGACTGGGACCTCTGAAATATGTTGAACTTAGAAAATTTTAACCATGTCTATCAGGACACCACTTATTGAGATATTCGAGTCTCTCGTTCAGAGACTGGATACGAAATGAGGATCTCTATATGAGCGACTCGAGTCTCTCGTTCGGAGACGCTAAATGGTTTATTTGACAGTCTCTCTCAAGACACCAGAGAGATTCGATGAGAGGCGGAGACTCGAGTCTCGCTTACAGAGACTCTGAGAGACTGAACATTTGTATCTCGGGCGCTGTTGTGTTAAGGTTCTTGTTGTCGACTACGTGCACGAAAACTATAAACACTTATATAAAACAAGAATACAGTGATAATTTTTATTAGAGATAAACTAGGTGTTTAAAGAATAAAACTAAAAAAATTTGATCAAGATTTATCAGGTAGTTT